CAGCCTCACCAGCGCTGATCTCTGTTTCATGCGGGTTGGTCTTTCCTCACATCTGTTTTGCTGCTTAAAGCATTGCGTCATCTGTGTCCACGTTTGGCTTATAAACTTCCTCTTCCGACACACACATTCACTGCACCTTGAGAGAATAAAAAATTACAGGCCGCTGGCTGAATCCACCAACACCACTCCCAGCGTCTCTGTCATCACAACTCTCTGAGCCTCCGCGGCTCCAACAACTATTCGGATTCTCCAGCTGGGCAAAATCTCAGAAAGAGTCAAATTGCAGTACCCTGCCCCCAGTAAAACCACATGTACTATACACCCATCCAAACTACAGACAAAGAAGCCTTCACTCTCAGAATCCACCCAGCTGGATGCAGGCGCTCGTATTGATGGAGTAGGGCACATCTTAATCAGCACTCCCAAACTACTCGTACTGTTTCACTAGTATGCACTATGTGTATAGTGAACAAAATTGTGGAATTTTTATCAAATATTAAACAGGAAGATTTTTTATGTAGTGATCATTATTATTTTTTTATATGGCATTAATTTTAAAACAACAAAATGTATTAAAAGCTATATTTTTTTATTTAAAAAGTGTGTCTGTGTGTGTGTGTGTGTGTATATATATGAAGGTGGTGACTGTGTAGTTCTGATGTCAACTTTTTACGGAAGTCACAACGGTTCGTGAAAAATCACAGCTACTTTATGCAGGCTGTGTGCATTTTACTGTGGACTGACTGTTTTGAAACTTATATGGTAGTTACATAGCCCCTATACCTCAGTTATCGTGAAAAAAGCCAGGAAACTTCAGTTTTGACCATATAGGACCTTTAAAAGTAATAACAATATGTTTTATTAGATATATATAGTCTATATATATATCATATACACACACACACAAATATATTTTATTTTTTTATTTGCCAAGAAATATTGTACGATTTTACTTTTCTATTATTTAAAAAAAAAAAAGTATTATATATTTTTTACATTTTAAAAATTAAATTAAATATACTTTAATGCTGATATGGTGTTTTGTTTAGGCATGAACTCACACAAAGTATCCCAGAATAAATACTGACCATAATTTTTTTATTTTATTTTCGTAAGTAAGACACTTTTGCTCTAAATTGGCATGAAAATAACCTAAACAACCTAATTTCCGAGATGATAACTGATGGTATGTAAGTGAAGTATAGACGGTGCAGTATGCAGTGCATTTCTATTCCATTGCAGTAAAGGAACTGATCCCAGACCAGGCACTTAGAAGTGATTATTTCTATCTTCAAACCGCAGGAAACCTCACGTCTGTCCTCCTCGGAGTGAACGCTGTCTTCTGTTCCTCTTAGAGAGGGCAGTCGACACCCAGCAATTTGCAGCAATCATCATAATCATCTCATGACACACTCAAGAGTGTCGGATGTAATTGCATATCAGCCGTGACTGATGCAGAAACGACATAATAATACAGTGACTTCGTACGGCCATAACCATGTGTGAATTCATACAGAACTGACTGGTGCAAATGCATCCAGGAGATGACAACTATGACATGTTATGTCACACAACTTGAGGACTTCACCCACTCCTGACCTGATTTGAACTGCTGCGATTTTCTCTTCTTCATACTACATGAAGCGTTCACCTTAAGTGGCCTTGGAAATGCTTGCCGTTTTCAGTCTATGGTTTTGGGCCGAAGAAGACATTCCAGAAAAGTAGTTATTTGCCAAATATGAAGTTTAAGCGAGTTCAGAAGAGAACTGTTTATGCGAACACACTTGATGTGTGTTTTTGGTGGACGGCAGGCTGTGTAGGAACATCTGCGACCTGCATGCTTGCTCTCCAGATGTTTTCTCACCATGGTGGGCGCAGACAGAGCTACTGTTGAGTAACAAAAGTGGAAAATGTAGGGCAAGGCATTCTCAAATGGTTTCTCTCTCCTTGTTGCCTTATGTATTGGTTTAGCTGTTTTCTTGTCTTTCTCTCTCTGTTTTTTGACTTGGTTAACCTCTCAGTCAGTCCGTAATTGGTCCCATATGCTGGCTTCTCTCCATTTTCAGCCCAGACTCCACCTCTTTTCCCTCCTAGTTTGCTCTGCTTGGCCTTGTTTAACTCATTTTTCGGACATCTTTGCTGAAACCTTGTGAGCTGCCTACCTAGATGGCATTTCTGTTGGTCAACGTGACCAGTTTGAACCCGTTGCCAAATCTGTGTGTATTGAAATGACTAAATTTTGCCTGTGAAGATTCACTGAACAACAGTAAATGTGACTGTATCTTAAGGCAGCATTGTGTATTTTGTGGAGAATGCAATCCCATAATCCATTGCAAATGTGAAAGACAGGGTTTCTGCAGGTCTTAAAAGGTCTTAAATTAGTCTTGGTTTGCCCTTCTTCAAATTAAGGCCTTAAAATGTCTTAATAAAGAGGTGGAATTAAATATTGCATGCGCTGTATAGAATAAATCTCTTCCTCAGAAATTAGTTTTCCAGTTTAAGTATCTGAAAATCCTTAAATCAAGATACATTTATTTGAGAGGCAAAATGAAGATAGCTGAAGTCTTGTTTTCTGAGAAATTGAACAAAATCAAGTGAATTTATGCTTAAAACAGAAACAAACATCTAGGAGAAGGGAATGAAAACTTGATTGATTTTTCTGATCCCATTTGTGGATATTTGTTATTGTTTTAGGCATAAACTTACTTCAATCTGATCAATTTCACAGAAAATATGACCTATTATCATGTATTTTGATTTAGGAATCTTTGAACAATTATTACCTAAGAATTCTTTAATTGGTCTTAAAATGGTCTTTAATAAGTCTTACATTGGCTTTCATAAAACCTTGGAGATAAATGTTGATTTTAAGTATTTTTTTATATTTTAAGTATTGCTAAAAACAATTATATCTAATTAAAAAGCCAATGTGTGTGCGCAAAACTCCAAAAATATGCATTTTTATGCTTATTAGAGTTATGCAAACTCTCGCTTTTTATGTAAAGTGCAAAGTTGACGAAGAGCATTCATCATCTCTAATGACCTTTCTTTAGGTTTTGAAGGAAGATGCAAAGCAGGTTTCTAT